TCTCTCTCTCTCTCTCTCTCTCGCTCTCTCTCTCTCGCTCTTTCGTCGCTGATACGACGACGATCCCGATTACTGACTCGCTACTCCTCCCTGAACATCGTATACCGTGAGAACGCGCGGTTTCCTCTGATTCTTCTGCTTTCTTCTTTACATGAAGGGTGTCGAGGGTGTCGAAAACAAACAAACATTCAAAGGGCAACGCCTGCGCTGCTCAACGAAACGAAGCGACGAACCTCGCCGAAATTCCTTTAAATAGTCCGTAGGCGTCGCTACCTGGCGGCGAGACACCGAACGAGGGAAAACTCTGGCCGGAAGCCAGTGGTCCCGGCGGCTGCTGCACAGCCTCCCAGTTTCCTTCTCTCGTCGCAGTTTTTTCCATCTAACCTTCGAATTTCACGCTCGAATTTGGATACCAGCTGGCGATTATCCGCTCTTCGATCAGCTCCCAATTGACTGCTTGGTGGAATTACACACGAAAGAGTGGATGTACGTAATCGCTGGAGGCAGAGTTTGGTCCAGCGACTTCCGGCATCAGCTCGCCATTGCGGATGTTCTACGAGTCACCGTGGCCAAGTGTTTCTTTCACGTAGATTTTCTGGTAGATATTACGTTACAACAAGCGTAAGTTTGAAACACAATGAACATGTATAAAACGAATTACAGAGTAATGACAGACGGGTTGGTTCTATTTACAGTGGAACGCCGGCTCTTCATTCTTTTGAAGATGGTTCTGAAAGTGTTCAGGTATCAAGTATGACATAGCAGTTCCAAACTTTCTAAGACTTGTTAGAACTTTTCAGCTAACATTGGGTCATTTCTACGTAGAAAAGTAAAAGAAAGAAGAGTTTAAGAGAATTAAATATTCTTTCATCTGTAGCAATCTCTTTCCTTCTTCGTCGACATCCCGATAAATCGGAAAGCTTTCGAAAACTTGCAAAACTTGTGCAGCCTGCAATCGCGATCGTAGATTCTAGTTGTCGCGCGTAAGGTCGAGCAGGTTTTCAACAAACGATCAGCCAGATCTTCGCCGCACACAATGCTCTTATTGGAAACGTTCAAGGTACGCATTTTTCTCAAGATCGAAAATAGGTGGCTGGCGTATATCCAAATGCGATATCAGCTCGAGCCTCGACTCGAAGACAATCCATCGACTGTGACCCCCAGTCCGATAGGTAGGCACCGCGGGGATATTTATTATCTGGTGATTAGCGACAATTCGGGCCAATCCTAGGGCCGAATACGGCGATGGATCGATCATCTCTCCTCCACGGAGACGGAGAAACGGATTGGCGAACCTTGCTTCGTTCCCTCTCGTAGGAGAGCCGCGGCTGCTTATGTAATTATGGTCCAATACGCGGCGAATCTAAAATAAGATCGTGCCATTTTCATTTCTGTAATTGTCCCGCACTAATTTCGCTCTTGAAACTCCTTGTCTCGAGAGGAGCTGACCCGATTCCGCCGCCTCGGGACATCTCCCAATCGGAAATTGCTCGCCAACGCGTCTTTGTCTAACCCTTTCGGCAAGCCTTCCGATTCCATTTTCACGTTTCATCTTCATCCACGAACAACTGTGAATATTTTCCACATTATTACACACACATTATCGTGTGTCGATCATAGGCTTTCAATTGAAATGAACTTTATTCACCTTTCGACCACTGTTTGATTCAAACGGCAACTTCATTATCCAGCTGTATCATTTAACAAACGATTCTGAATCGTTGGACTGGAATTTCTGTAGTTACATGACGACCTACATATCTATGCGCGCAAGATTATGCGAGAAATTAGTAGACGGATCCAAATTTACGTAGGTAGCTGAAAAGGATTATATCTTTAATTAAATAGCGTGATTAGAATGCTTCTGTTATTCTCAGTCAACAAATGAATTTTACCACCATTTCTAATATCCAATATAAATCTAATCTAATATCTAAAATATTATTATTATTATATACTATTATTAACTATTAATTATTATTATTATTTATTAATTATCTGATTGATTGATTTAAAATTTAAAATGCCAGGAAATTAGATTCAATCTTAAACAACTAAATGGAAGCGACTTTCTTGAAGCTAGTATAAAATAGTACATTATGTAACATTTTGTAACTAGTTGGAAACATTGAAAAAAATTTAGAAAAGAATAAATAATTTTGCATATAGTATTGGATGCTGTAAATACTTCTGAAAAAAAAAGAAAATGTTAGAAATATTAAAGAAATATCATTAAATAAAATAAAATTGAAAAGAATTGTTATTAAATTAAATAAAATTAAAAAAGAATATTCTTGATTTGTGTTGAAGAATGTTCCAAGTACAAAATTCTCAATAATATTTCTAGTAACTAAACCAAATTTTACATCTACATTTCATCTGTTTAATTATGTTCATAAAGATGAGAATTTGTATAATCACAGTTACAAAGAAGAAAAATAGATGATTTTTGTAAAAGAAGATTCAAAGAATAGTACAGAAATAATTGTTGTTTTTAATATATTATATCTAATCGTAGAAGCCTTTGGGTTCAAGATTTTGCTTCTTGGATCATACATTCCCACACAGCGTACCAAGAACATTATTCATAAATAAGAACAGAAAAGAAGCATTATCCGCCCACACGACGGCGCTTCACCTATTCAAATATAAAGTCTAATCCACATCGATCAAGTTACTTGACCTTAACTCAAGTGAAACAAAATCATTTTATTCATGTAAAACGAAAACGAGATTTTATCAATTATTCATTCATAATTTTTGTTCATTCAGATTCTCTAACATCACCTCTTTTTCGACGCTGTTGTTAGATGCTCGTTATTTAAAATTGGAATTATTGTTAGACTTGAAATATTAAAAATATATTCCTTATGATACTTAATAGGGAAATTAATTTTCCAGTTTTTTTTTTTTTTTAACTAACTTTGCGAAACTGCATAAAAATCTGCAGTTCATTTGCTGCACTAAACTGATACAATGAACACGACGATACGAATACATACAAATACAAATTTAGTCGAAAGAGACGAACATAAAATAACAGTTCTTTAAAATATGAAGTTTCATGTTTCTTCCGTTTTTTTTTTTTTTTTCTCATAAAATACTCACTGCCAAAAATTTAGTTTGCAGCAAAGTGCAACGAATCATATTTTTCTGTATGTTCAATGATTCATGAACTAAAAGATGAAATTCACTACGATGAAAGTCATGTACATGCTCCTTACTTTATGTTAAGCATTAAGTATAACAATCCATCGAGGATCAAACAGTAATTTATTGAAGCAGTAGTAATATTTAAAAAAACTCAACTTCTTTCACATTTCACAGAGAACTTTAAAGTTGATTTCCTCGATGTTAGAGAAACGTCGTTTGCATCCCTTGTCTCACTCGAACACAAATTTGTATCGCTTGACTGACGCGAACGAGACATCGAAGAAAGGCGAAGAGGAAGGAAGAGAAGAGCCACGCAACGGTCAACGTTCTGCTTCTTGCGTGGATTCTAAATACATTTTAATATACGACAATGTCGTGCTCGACTCGCGTAGCGTCCATGAAAATTTGGTACGCGTTGAATTCGTTCCATCCAGGCCAGCTGATCGAGGCGAGGATCTTCGATCGCGCCGAAAATTGGAAATAAATATATTACCGACCGATCAGAAATAAACCTAACCTAACCTAACCTTCGATCGCGCCGAAAATCGGAAATAAATATATTACCGACCGATCAGAAATAAACTTAACCTAATCTAAGCTTCGATCGCGCCGAAAATCGGCAATAAATATATTACCGACCGATCAGAAATAAACCTAACCTAAGCCTAAACCTAACCTTCGATCGCGCCGAAAATCGGCAATAAATATATTACCGACCGATCAGAAATAAACCTAACCTAAACCTAAATCTAACCTTCGATCGCGCCGAAAATCGGAAATAAATATATTACCGACCGATCAGAAATAAGCCTAGCCTAAACCTAACCTAACCTAAACTTTGCACTGTGCAGGAGCAAACGTAGAATATATCAAAACGTCTATCTGCAATCGAAAATACGATCGATGAATAGGAATTTCGAAGAAGATTCTTGTATTATACGTCGTTGATTGAGATCGGGTTTAGGCATTATTCCGAATGAAACGCTTGAGAAATAATTATCTAAGTAGCGCGACATATTGTTTGGCTCGATGCTATTTTGAAATAATCTCGCATGTCTAATTTGTTTGAACAAACCGAATAGTTTTCCTCATTGAAATTCTTTCATTATCGAACAAAACAGTCTTCCATTTTATTTGGTGTATTTTGTATTTTGTATTTGCATCTACAAATAATATTTGAAACACGTGTTTCGAATTCTGTTTGAGTAAACTTCACCTTGTGCTGCGCTTATGCTGCGATAATTTGTTATTTCACTACGATAAATTAAATCGAATAAAATTTGATTTGCAAATGATTTCGCCGGACGCGGGATGAAGTTACTTCTTTCGATGTGTATTTTTCAAAGTAAAAATAATAAATAATGACACGGAAATGATTCACTTTTCAGATGAAATTTGCTCGATTCTGGATATATAGATCTTTAAGAAGATCAATTGAAATTAATTAATTTTGGAAACATAAAATGATGAATTTCAATCATTGATATTTCAAAAAATATTTTTGGTAATTTATATCGTAGCTTACGTAAACATACTTATTTTACAAAGTTCTATTATTTAAAATATATGTATTTGCTACAAGTAGGTAACAACAAATTGTTTATACTTTCTTTTTAATTCTTAACTGTCATCACTAGCCATTGAGAATTATATTACACGTTTGAAATTCGAATTATTTAATTCTTAATTCGATTGAATTTTACTACTAATTTCTGTAATCTAACATACAAATTAATCTATTATAATTCCATCATATAATTATTATGATTATCTGTGAACATCTGAAAGTCAATTCTCCAAGAAAGGAGATTTTTCCACGTTATAATCAGTTAGCAAAAAACACGCTCTTAAAAAACTTGGTAAATGAAGTTAATTCTGCGCAATAACTAATTAACAACTGATTAATTAAAGATACGCATCGTACAGTGAGTAAGTATCGCGGTGAAATCGCAGAAAATCACGTTTTCACATCAGAAGTGAAATTTATTACGAAACAATCTGGTTAATCAATTGCACGCGGAGTATCGCGTGCAAATTGCATTTCACCGACAATTGTTATGCTTGTGTGTGTGTGTATGTGTGTCACACACATGCATACACGGATCCGCGTGTTTTACGAAACGCGACGGAAGTTCGAACGTTGAAGTATCACCGATCGACGAAACTATCCGCCAATCAGTTCCGTAAAAAGATACACGAGCAGAGTCGGTGTATTCTCTCATTATAACCAACGAAAATAGACATCGTTACTTCGTCGCTAACACGAAGCCGCGGTTCAAAGCATGGCGTTATTTTTAGGTGAAACATAAAGTGTTACGTAAAAGTCAAGAAGCGTATATCGACGTTTCGAGACATTTTCGCGTGAATCGTTGTTCTTCTTCGCCGTTGCGAATTCCTCTCGCTTCACACTCGTAATTATAAAACACACACGCGCGCGCGCGCGTGAATTTTTATTCAATATAATACGCCTTCGTAACGATACACCTGTCTTTCCTTCTAAATTCAACTTTGTTCAATCGATTTGACACATATTTATATGTGTAAGTGTAAAACATGCATATTTTCGTCGCTTAGAAACGCTGGCAGAATAATAATAATATTAATTATGAAGTTCAATATTAAATAAGTTGAATTAGCCTGACATTTAAATTAATATCGGTGTAGAAGATTCATGTCTTCGAGTTTATCAAGTTATATATATTTTTATTAAGTGAATTATTACTATTCAAAATATTTATTTATTAATACACTTGCTATTTAACTCTATTGTTAGGATTTTCTGCTAAAATACTTAGAAATATCCAAAGTAGAGTGGTTTCTAACAGAAATTATAAATTAATCGATTTTTACCAATTTAGCAAGTAATATCAGTGTTGAACATTCACTTGTTTCATAATCAAATGTTCTACGAATTTGCCCGATCTCTGAAGATTCAACGTATTCGCGTTTGCGATCGCACGTTTAATATCATTATCAAGATCTATTAAGTGGAACACGTGTTCTGGAGGCTTCGACAGTTCAGTCTGAACGTGTATCTTGCCGGGACGGTTTTGAAAATAGAATGTTGAACGGGCGCCACTTATTCGACTAATTCTAAACTTTATTTATGGACATTTTTATAAACGACGTGCTAAACATTTACGATGACATGGGACATCAGGTCGCGGACGATCCGTTGGAATCCCTGTTCTTCGGGCCGAATCGTCCTCAACGACGAAGTGAAACACGTTATTTCTTTTGGCAAAAAGTTCGAAACGGAATCTGTAATAAAATCTCGGGTATATTTGACACGTTTCATGGCGAAAGAAAAACAAACACGCTAGGGAAAATCTTAAATTCGAAGTGAAGTTCCGCGCTGAATCCCCCCTGCATCCACTTCCACATGAATAATAAAACAAACAATATCTGTTGTTTACTCGTTGCGATTTTAGATCCGTCGACCATCGTGAAATATTGATGGTTTTATCGGAATTTTTCAGTATTCTGTATTTGTTCTTGGCCATTTTCTGAATTTCTTCTCTTACTCTCTCTCTCTCTCTCTCTCTTCCTCTTCATTTTGCTCTATGTTCTTTCGATCTTCAGAAGAGAATGAGATATAGCATTTCGTTTTATTTACGTTTCGTTTGAAAACTATTAAATCCGAGCGAAAATTGGCGAAATTTAATCAGATTTTTCGTCAACTGACGTTCTCATAATCGATCCCTCGAACCTCGAAATCGTTCGAAAACTCATGTTTTTCGAATTCCCAACCATTCGAATAGCCTGTTATTTGAGGTTACTGTTATACGAACACGTTTCGTATGTACACAATTCAGTCTATGTTTAGCGCTGTAACAATACAGCAAATGATTTGTACAAGTTTTCATAGCGGCAATAAAAGGTACTTTCAATTAAAAAGTAGCGAAAGAGAGAATACTATCTTGTTGCTGGACAATGCCCAAGGCAATCACGTGCTTTGTCTGAAATTCTAAATGAAAAATGAGTTTGAATATTACATCCAAGTTAATCGAGAAAGTTAATTTCCGGATGACGAAGTACAAAAGTAATGTTAAAATATTAGTTCATATGGCAAATAACAAATTAAATAGTAAATGGTCACAATTTTGAAAATGAAATATTTTATTTGATAAATCTTTAAAACAGTTTCTTGCATTTCCAGTTTTTTTTTTTTTTTAATAGTTTTAAAATAGTTTCTAGTAATTTAGTATGTTTTTAAAATGGTATTTTATTTAAAGTAATATTG